GCTCAAGATGAGCTAAAACCAGCTTGAGTTCCGAGCGGGGACCCACCGAAGGGCAGGCTATTTAAGCTGCTGTCCGTTCTTGGAATACTCTTGCAACCTGTTTTTTTGCTTTTCTAAACATATGTTATACAGCACCACAGATATAAAGATACACAGTGCATAATGCTCTCTGTAAAAGCCTATATTAAAATAAATTAAAACAAAATACAAACTCACAATATGCAGGTCAAGGATGCCTAATTTTGGGTCAAAGGTATTTCCTTCATTGCTTGTTCTTAACCCGAGTCCTTTTGTTGATAATGTCTCTCTAACCACTCCCTGTGGATTCATCATGTTGACATCTGAATATATAAGCAGGCTGCATAATCTATTTATGAATATATCCACTTAATTCCATCTTGCTAAATCACAAGTCAAACAACACAGCCAGGTTTGTAATGCAGTTCTCAACAGAAATATGCAAATTGAAAATAAATACAATTACACTAAAAGGGAAGAGAAGGGTCAAACATTTGATAGGGAAGAGAGGAAACAAGAAATGTAGGGTCAAGCTCATTGGCAGATGCAGTGGATACAGCGGCTGCAGCCATATTCCTGGTACCACAACCACTACAGCAGGCTGTAGTAATTATATTGCATAAAGTGTTCCTTTAAGAGGACGAAAGCAAATGAGCTTAAAAGGAGGATTAATGGAATAAGGAAGAGATTTATGGAACAGAAAAGAATATGCAGGTTCTGAATAGCACAAGTGGAAGAGTGCTGGAATGGATGGGGTCAGGTGAAGGTGGCCGAGGAGGTGAATATCATATTTTTGTACTAAGCCTTTAAATGCTGATGATGATATAGTCCCTAACTTTTCTAGTTTTATAAACCTTCTAACTAATAATATGCTCCCTGTGAGAAAGCCGTGGCATTGTCTTTATTTGCAGGCTAATTCAGTCAATATTCCATAAATCAAACAAAAAGTATAAAGAAAACAAAACAATACTATCACCACAATCATGTGTGAATAGTGTGAAATAATTATGCAATATACTTATGCAGTAAATCAAGTGGACAGCCACCCAAGGATCACTTCCCAGGTAGTGATCTTTAAACCAGAATACAAGCAAAATACATATGGGATACGGCTGTGGAATCTAAAAAGTACATAGACAAACCATAGTGTAATACTACTTTAACAAATAATGTGCGCTGTACAAAAATGCACTCACAAGATGTAGATGTATTATGCACTCAAAGGTTGCCTCTCCCGCTGTAATTGGGGGCCATATGTACAGCGCATATATTTGTTTAAATTGTATTACACTATGTTTTGTGTATGTTCTTTTTAGATTTCACAGCCGTATCCCCATATGTGTTTTTCCAATATTCCATAAAGCACTGAATGAATGCAATATGTGTAAAAGTAAAAGGTGTATTATTTCATACTTGTGGAGAATAATGGAAAGAAATGCATAAGCATGGCATTCCTTATTCTTGTATGAAATCTTTGTGTTCCTACATCTATATTCCCTGCTACATTTAGCTTTATATAACACATTTATAGTTTATGTTTTGCTGCAATATGACTCATCTAGTTATTTCTCTTTATCTGAATGACTATGAATTTTTGTGAGTGAAATAGATGGTTCCTGTTAAATAATTTGCTTTTCAGCATAGGCACACTTACAAATATAGTACATCCTCTATCTTCTAGGAGATTTTTTAAATTAAATATCAATCGCCTTTCACAGTGTTGTCAGCACATAATACACATTTTTATTTTACATACTTTGTGCCTCATCTTGCTTCACTTTGTCTAATTTTTTAGGTATATGCCAATGCATAATATAGATCGCTACATTTACAGTATCATACTATATAACTTGATCAGGGGCAGGCTGACACTGGGTGGGTGATCAAGGGCTCCCCCTCCTGGTTCAGGGTTTTCTGGCCCCCTACTACTCTTCTCCCTTCTTTCTGCTGCTTTCACACCGATATTATGTGTACGCTGCCCAGCACACGGAATGGCTGTGTGCGAGTCACACAACCCTGACTCCCACACCTGCAGAGCCCCCAGAAATGGCCAGATTTACTTTTAAGGGGTTAATCCAACCAAAAACAGTGCCTCCCCAGCAATTAAAATAAAGAAATAAAACAAATTTAATTACACACTTTCACTATTTTTGCTTAAGACATCACAAGCAGCATCCCCCACATGTGCAACCATACAAGTAGCGGCATGTGTTTGGAGTCTACTTATGGGGTTCCGTGTGTGGGGATGCTGCTAGTGATGTTGTGCTCCTGTATGTCAAAGTGTTGTTAGAATTAATCGTTTCTCTTGTTTTACCTACTGTACAGCGCTGTGGAATATGTTAGCGCTATATAAGAGATTGTAATTGTGTGTGTGTGGAGGCTGTATGCAATATAGCAATGGTGGGTATGCTGTTTGTGATGTGTATGTGTAGGGAGGCTGCATGTGGTTTTTGCGTGGGTGAATGGGGCTACTTGCAGTGCAGTATGTGAGTGGAGAGGACTGGTTGTGTTGCAGTGGGTGTGGGATAGAATCTGTAGTAGGCATCTGGCAGTTACTGGGGCTGTAGTGTGCGCGTGTTTGGATAATAAAGGCTCTACTGTGTATAAGTAGGATAGCAGCTGTAGTGTGCGCGTGGGGGGATAGATGCTGAAGTAGGTGCAGGGAGACACAGGGCTGTGGTGAGTGATGGGAGATATGAGGACAGAGGTGTGTGCAAGGAGGCACAGGGACTGAGGTGGGCGCGGCGAGGTTTGGGAGACTGAGGTGGGCACAGGGAGGCACAGGGGCTGTGATAGGCGGGGGGCTGAGGTTGGTGCGGGGTTGGACAGAGTATGAGGTGGGACATAGAGGTTGTGGTGTGCGCAGGAGGGGACAGAGGCTGTGGTGGATACTGAAAGGTAAAGGGGCTATTATAGTTAGAGGTAGCATAAGGGCTCTGGTGGAAGCATAGGGGCTTAGGTGAGTACAGGGATAGGTAGATCCTGTGGTGGGTGTTGGGAAGAATGGTGGCTGCGGTGAGTGCAGGGAGAGCTGTGGTGATTACAGGGTGGCTGAGGTTGGTGCAAGGAGACAGGGGGCTAAGGTGGGTACAGTGGGAGATGTGGTGTGTGTAGGAGTAGCTGTAGTGGGTGCAGAGAGGGCTGAGGTGGGTGTAGGGGGAGCTGTGGTGATGAGAACAGGGTGGCTGAGGTCGGTGTAGGGAGGCAGGAGGCTAAGGTGAATAAAGGGGGGCTGAGGTGGGTGCAGGAGGATATGTGGTGTGTGCAGAAGGAGCTGTGGTGGGTGCATGTAGACAATAGGCTGTGGTGGGCACAGGGAGGTTCATAGGGGCTGTGGTGGGTACTGGAAGGCAAAGGAGCTATGGTAGCTGAAGTTGGCATAGAGGCTGTGGTGGGTGCATAGGGGCTTAGGTGGGTACAGGAATAGGTAGATCCTGGGGTGAGAGTAGGGAGGAACGGTGGCTGAGGTGAGTGCAGGGGAACTGATGTGGGTGCAGGGGGAGCTGTGCTGAGTACAGGGGGCTGAGGTGGGTGCAGAGAGACAGGGGACTGAGGTGGGTGCGAGGGGAGATGTGCTGTGTGGAGGAGGAGCTGAGGTGGATACAGAGGTGTGTTGAGATAGGTACAGAACGGGGCTGAGGTGGGTACAGAGGGGGGCTGAGGTGGGAGCAGAGGGAGGTGTGGTGGGTGCAGGGAGACAGGGGGTGCTAAGGTGAGTGCAAAAAAAAATAATCTATAAGGATCTTACCTGTGCAGTCTGACAGGCTGTTGCAAATCCTTATCTTCAGGGTGCTCTTCAGATGAGGGCAGGAAGTGATGTCACTTCCCAGCCCCACCTCTTTCTCCTCACACACCGCACCGCACAGAGGCTGGAGACCTGGCAGTAAAAACTGAATGATCGCTGCCAGGTCGTCCTGAGAAAACAGAAGCTGATGATTGATATACCTGTATACAGGGTGATATGTTGCAGGGCGCCCTACAACATATCACTGGAATATGGGAGAAATCATGTTTTTCTGGCATGGCTGTGCTGCCGGCCCCTGACTGTCTCTGGCCCTCGATTCATGACTGATCTGCCCAACTGGTCAGTCCGCCCCTGAACTTGATGCAGAATATGTAATCCTGGGTTGAAAAAGTCGGTCTGCATTAGACAACCCAGTTTTAGTACATGGCTTAGATGTTATTCATTTATAAAACACTTATATAGTTATATAATAGTCTAGGATTGTGATGTCAGTTGTGAAATCTTTAACCCTTTAAGATTCAACGATGATCTAAGCCAGAGGTAGGCAATCTTCAGAGCGCCAAATGAGAACTACATTTCCCATGGTGATTTGCCAGCATTATTGCTGTAAGAGCATTATGGGAAATGTAGTCCACAACATCTGGAGGACCGAAGGTTGCCTCCCCCTGGTTTATGCGATTCAAATAATTTGTTCTTTATGGATCCTATTCCCATGGAATTGATTTTTGGAAGATTGAAAAGAGGTGTTGAAGCTAAATAAGTGGAACTTTATATTCTGGCATTGGATATACATGGACAATAAAGTAACAGTATAGTTTAGCATTTGGGCCTTAAGAGGTTAATATACAGTACAATTAAAATAAAATGATGCTTTACATGCAAAATGGTTAACACAAGTTCTAGGTGATTTTCAATGTTTTACTTAATAGTGCAATTTCCCTTCTAATTCTTTTGACAGTCAGCCTACCATTAGAATACTTTATTTCAATTAGGTTATTAAAATATATAATAAAAGCGTGCACTATTTCATGCAGTCAAGCAGTAAACCGTTTAGACGTCTCCTTTTAATTCCTTTCATTCTACCAAATAATATTTTGTCTGTTTTATTTTTTAGTGTTGCGTTCGGAAAGCCTGAGCTCCAAGAAAGAAGCAAATGATTGAACAATGACAATTTAACCACTTATTGTTATTATTATTATACTATTAAAATCCTTATTAGTGACAAATCGGAGTTGGGTGTTAACACAGACACAGATTTCTTTTAGAAGTCTTATTGTTCTGTGGAATTGTTATAATATTAAAGTCAAAATCATTATATACTTCATAAATGCCTTGCTACAGTATCACATATGATGCGTGATGGCGGCACATTTCTAAAGGGTGAAATAAATGAATACATGCCTTATTCATGAATACACAGTTGAAACATAAATTGCAGTATGTTTCCAGAGAGAAAGCTGGTAATATTCATATTTGGACTAACACCAAGAAACTGGCTAAGGAATATTTAGATTAAAAAAAAATACATTCTTGATAGACTCTCGTGTACGCTTGTAATCTATATCTGTCTTACCAGGAGTCCCCTCGTTAGCTCTCCAGGTAGGCATGAATAAAGGACCTCTCCCACAAATGTCCAAGTGCTTGCAATAAGAACTGTATTCTGTAGCAAAAAATGCTACCAGTAATAAATCTAACAGAATAATATACATTATTTGTATTGTTCTACAGAAAAGCCAGAGGCAAAAAACACGGGGGATGCCCAAGAAAAGGGGTAATGTTTTGTACTAAAAAAAAACAAAAACCCAAACACTCGAAACTCGAGAATAAAATGAATAAAGCTAAGCTCTTTGGATGTGTACTACTATGTGTACTCCCCTAATGTGAATTTTAATGGGAATTTCAATAAAAGTTAAGTATTATATTATACCAGACTGTCTATAGTGCTGTTTCATTACAGAGGCTGTTCTACCAAATGTATTTGTATTTCTGATGTTCTGGACACATTTCCCATGGGAAACAATGGTTGTTTGGATGCATGGTCGATATCTTCCATGTCTAAGTATTTTCCAAATACACATTTATATCAAAAAAAGAGAAGTTTTATAGTCTTATTAGTTATATTAGTGAAATCACACAAGAAAACTTGTTCAAGGGTAAGTCATTTTTCCAGCAAGCCATTGGGCTGGCTCAATTAAAATTTTAGTTGCATAAGGTCAGTGATCTTTTATTAGTTATCTGGTGTATTTTAAAGGGACACTATAGTCACCAGAAGAACTATAGCTTAATGTAGTTGTTCTGGTGAGTATAGTCTGTCCCTGCAGGCGTTTTGCTGTAAACACTGACTTTTCAGAGAAAAGGCAGTGTTTACATTGCTAACTAGTAACACCTCTAGTGACAGTCAGTCAGACAGCCAGTAGAGGTGCCTCCTGGGTCAGTGCTGTATAATGTGCAGCACTGACATTCAGTGTCACCATGCTCTGCAAGGAGGCGCTGAACGCTCCTCATAGAGATGCATTGATTCAATATATCTCTATGAGGAGATGTTGATTGGTGCAGTGCAGCGTTTTGCTTCATGTGCGCATTAGTCTCTCAATGCTTTCTTGTGGGAAAGCATTGGATTGGCTGAGATGGTCAGGTTTGATGATCTCGACCAAGGAGGACCCGCTCGGCGCTGGAATAAAAGTGGGTTTTCATTCTTTATAAAAGGGAGCAGGGAGGGGACTAGATCCTAAAATGGTATTTTAACACTATATGGTCAGGAATACACGTTTGTTTTCCTGACCTTATAGTGTTCCTTTAAAGATATATTTTTTTAATTTCCACTTGCAAAAATAGGAGGGCATAATTTAGCAATGCTGGATTTATTTTAATCTAATTTTAATTGCAATTAAAATAAAGCAATAAAGGAGGACTGTGCCACAGTGCCAGGACTCCAATCATCACCAACTGTGCAATTTTAGTAGAGTGGTACTATTGGCATTTCTAAAATACCATGGTATTGCTGATGTATTTTGTGCCACTTATGGCATATACCTACCATCCATCAGTCATAGACTGTCAGGGGTTGTCTGCTGATTTAAACAGCAACCCATCCTCTCTCTGTGTCTGAGCTGTTCAGCTGCTTTTTAACGATCAGCTCCTTCATTGTCATTTCTACGGTTACTCACCTGGTTGTTAGTAACCAGCCCTTATGCTGATCAGTGCGGCCTATTTAAGCAGCAAGTTCCAGTACCTCCTTGCCCTTGCGTGGTTTCCTGTTTCCTAGAAGACTTCCTGTTTCCTCTGTATTCCTGGTTGCTGACTTCTGGCCTTGTTACGGACTCCGCTGCTCTCCATTCTCCTGATTCCGCTTTAGTGCGTGACCCCTGCTTGCCTGACTTTGCTTTTGGTTTATTTAATTTGTTGCTATTTATAATAAAGTTGTTTTGCATCTACGTTCTGTCTCTGTCTGGTTCCTGATTTTTGGATATGTTCCTCACCCAGATCAGGGCTACCAGGGGGTACCATATTACTTTGTCTGTCAGGAGATGTCATACAATTTCTGTAATAATCAATAAATGTTAATATATACTTATTATACCCACAAAACATCAGCTGTATTCGAACACATATCTGAGTGAATTAGTTGCAGAGACTTTACTGAGGTGCATTGACACTGTTTGGAAACAGGGGGCCTTGCACCTCTCTGTATTAGACATCTACATACTTCTCTATTGTGATCTTTCCAACAAGATTTCATGTCTATTCCTCTTGCCAAACGTTTAATCTGTAGATCAGAAATTACTTTGAGGATGGGAATGTGACCAAGTGGGAGGCCATGTTATGCAGCCTGCTCACTAAAGAAGACCTCAGATGGGCAAACGCACACCTGGAGGCCTCAATACGAGCAGGTATTCAGATGGTTAGAGAGGACCTATAGGGTCTCACAGACTGAGTGGGCTGACTTGAAGCCGAATGTCACTTTCTTATGGCTGCTTAAACTTCCCCTTCAATCATATTATACACCCATGCAGATCATCTCAGGGCAATGGCCCTGCATGTAGAAGATTTAGACAACATGGCCGGCGACATAATCTAAGGCTCCGCAGTCTACTGGAGCAACTGGATAGATTGATTATTGGAAGTGGCTGGGGATGACCTACCAGTCATACTTTAGAGGTGGCAGCACCCCAAAATTGACCAACTGTGTCTATATCCAAGACAATTATGGGAACAACCCTGAGAGTAAACTGAAGGAGGAGGTGACCTTTAACTATAAATCGGTACCTTTCCAAGTAAGTGACATACTTACTGGTCGTGAGGGACGCTACGTATATGTCAAGGGCACTATCTTGGAACAGATTTACACTATGCCCCTAACTTATAACAAAATCCGCCACTATGGGAAAGAGTGTCACGATTCGGGGAACCAAACACGCCAACACACACACACACACACAAAGTGCCGTACCGGACCTTAGAGTGGCCGGGCTAAGCACACAAAGAATAGTCAGGAATCAAGCCGAGTAAGGGGAACCAGAAGACAGAATAACGTGAAACAAGCCGAGGTCAAAGGGTAGGAGAAAGTCACAGAGTCGGATAACAAGCCAGAGAGTACGTAACCAGAAGCACAAGTTCAGAATCAATACTAACAAGCAAAGACCACAACAGGGCAAGGAGGAACAGGAAAGGTAAGTATTTAAACCATCAGGTTAATTCTGATTGGATGATTTCCAATCAGAATTAACAATCACACGTGGGAGATATTTAGACCTCCCACTGTGATTGTGGCACTTTGCCTTTAACGCCGGGTCAGGTGACTGAACCCGGCGTGTATAACCCTGGGCGGTCTCCCAGCGTGCAGCGTCATGCATGCTGCCGCTGGGGGACGTGGAGGGAACGGCGGGCGGCATCCGAGGCTGGAAGGATGCCGCTCGCCGTACCCACGAGGCGGAGGGGACCGCGGACGGCTGGAGGGTGAGTACTGCGAGCGGAGTGCAGCCTCCCCTCGCAGCCGCCCGCGGGAGCCTGACATTACCCCCCCCTCGAAGACCACCCAGGGGGTGGGAAGCGGAAGGCTTCAAAGGAAAGCGGGCATGAAAGGAGCGGACCAAAGAGGGAGCGTGCACATCGGAGCTTGAAACCCAGGACCGCTCCTCAGGGCCGTACCCCTTCCAGTCCACCAAATATTGCAGCCGACCCCTAGAAACACGAGAGTCGAGAAGGGTAGCCACCTCGTACACGTCGTCAGAGACAGCTCGAGGGGAAACGGGCCGCCCGAGGGGACGAGAGAACCGGTTACACAGCAAGGGTTTCAAAAGCGAGACGTGAAACGTGTTCGGGACACGCATGGAAGGAGGCAAATCAAGGGAGTAGGAAACGGGATTAACCCTACGTAACACCTTGAAGGGACCAAGAAATCTGGGGGCGAATTTCATCGAGGGAACCTTGAGACGGAGGTTCCGGGAGGACAACCATACCCTATCACCCGGAACATAGGAAGGGGCCGCAACCCTACGGCGATCAGCAAACTTTTTCTGAGCAGCCGCTGAACGAGACAGCGCAACATGGACTTGATCCCATGTCTTCCGCAAAGAGGCGAGGTGCTGGTCCAAGGCGGGCATTCCCTTGTCGGAGAACGCACCGGGAAGGACAGAAGGACGAAACCCATAAGCAACCTCAAAAGGACTTAAGCCAGTAGACGAATGAGACACCGTATTCCTGGCAAATTCAGCCCACGGAAGAAGGCGAGACCAGTCATCCTGGTGCGCATTAGTGAAGCAGCGCAAATACAATTCCACAGACTGATTAGCACGTTCGGCCGCACCATTAGATTGCGGGTGATAGGAGGAAGAAAACGACAAGGATACCCCCATCTCAGCACAAAAGCCCCTCCAGAACCGAGAGACAAATTGAGGGCCCCTGTCAGATACGATATCCTGGGGTACCCCATGCAATCGGAACACTTCTTTGGCAAATACCTGAGCTAACTGAACCGCAGAAGGCAGTTTCTTAAGCGGAATGAAGTGCGCCATTTTAGAGAACCTATCCGTCACAGTCAGTATCACCGTCTGACCATCAGAAAGAGGCAGGTCTACAATGAAATCCATGGATAAGTGGGTCCATGGTTTCTTGGGTATAGATAGAGGCATCAGAAAACCCTGGGGTCTCATATTAAGGGACTTACATTGCGTGCAGACCTGACAAGCCTGAACAAAATCCACTACGTCTCGCTTGAGTGAAGGCCACCAGAACTGTTGAAGGAGGCCCTTGTAGGTTTTGGTAACCCCCGGATGACCAGCAGTTTTGGCTGTGTGAAATAAAGTTAACAACTTTTTTCTGTCATTAGCTTCAACGTATAGTTTACCAACCGGCGTCTCAGGGGGTGCCTGGGTTTGGTATGTCTTAATACTGGTAAGGAAAGGTGAAGAAACAACCAAACGGGTAGCAGCTATTATCTGAGACTCAGGTACAATAGGTTCAGGAGTCGGGTTAACAAATTCTACTGGTTCATGCTGCCGAGAGATGGCGTCAGCCTTGGCATTACGGCAACCAGGTCTATAGGTGATAACATATTGGAAGCGTGAGAGAAATAGAGACCATCTAGCCTGCCGGGCAGATAACCTTCTAGCATCAGCAATATAGGATAGATTCTTATGATCTGTTATAACCATAATTTTGTGTCTAGAACCCTCTAATAAGTACCTCCATTCCTTGAAAGCTAACACAATAGCTAATAGTTCCCTATTCCCAACATCATAATTCTTCTCTGAATCAGACAACCTTTTAG